CTTTAAATTAGTGATGTATTAAAAATATTTATTCTAAAATTTATGTAATTTGACTTTCCTCATTCTCTATCTATATTATGATATATTTGTGTTACAAACATAGCAGTTCATTAATATGTAGTAATATTCTCTCTTCCAGAAGTATTTGACATATAGCGCTAGAGCAGGATATTCCATAGTATTTAGTATTAACTAATGAGACTGATCCACTGCATTGTAGTATAAAAGAAGAACAGAAATATTCTTTTTTAAAAAATATATTAAATTTGCATTTAAGTTTAATTTTAATGATAAAATAAATTCACATTTTACTTCGGTCTACAAAAAAATTAAAAATAAATAATAAACATCCACCACTAAAATTCCTACAAAATTTTAAATTATTAGAATTTTTATTTATCATTAATAATCCATTTATACATTCAAACTGGTACATTTTTCAAGATTGCCACTAAAGATGCAGATTTCCTGTGTCTAACTCAGCACTCATTTGAGTACTTGACAGGCTATATTTAGTACATGTGTTAATATGGCTTTTGGGTCCTTAGCCTAAGAGATTTCCAATTTTGTAAAATTTAATGGGAATATTGAATGCTGAGTGGAGTAAAGTCAGTTCACTCATTTGATTTTTTCCTATGATAACACACTGAATATCTGCAAACTCTTTCCAGTTTTTATCTGCCCTAAAACATTTGCCATATTCACACGTATTACAAAAGAACAGTGTTAAATTCAAAATCCAGGGAGAGTTTGCAATTTTAATTATAACCTNAAATTTAATGGGAATATTGAATGCTGAGTGGAGTAAAGTCAGTTCACTCATTTGATTTTTTTCCTATGATAACACACTGAATATCTGCAAACTCTTTCCAGTTTTTATCTGCCCTAAAACATTTGCCATATTCACACATATTAGTTACAAAAGAACAGTGTTAAATTCAAAATCCAGGGAGAGTTTGCAATTTTAATTATAACCTAGTCCACCATCCTTCACACACATCACTAAGTTGAAACTGCTCCCTGAATCTTTTCCTCCAGTAATTTGTGCTTCTTGGGAGACTAAGGGTTCAGTGACTGAACTGTGTAGTTTTGTAAGTTTTACAGTGTTACTGTTTTGTGGAAATGTACCCCTTTTGTAATTATTTCAATCTTCCCCTTAAAGATTCTTGTCTGAGTAAAGATTTTTCCCCTCTTTTATTCATGGAAAGGTGTGATTTATTAGCATTACATTTAATACAGCTATTTTATATATAACTGCAATCAAAGCAAAAGGTGAATGTTTGATATAAACACAAATCATTTTCTTCTTTGGAATCTTTTTTTTTTTTTTCATGAGAATGAAGTCTCTGTATTTTTATGGCAGGGCTTCAGGATGCAGCCTGACTTTCAGCACCAATGGTGAAAATAAAATCTGAGAATTATAAGCTTCGTAGCAAAGACTTCAAGATAGCCAGACAATATTGTTGGAGATTTTCTCCAGTATGGAGTTTTTCTTCTTTTACTTGGTTTCCTTCAAAAGTGATATGACTACAGAGGTGGAAAAGCTAAATTGACATTTCTGTTTTCTAATATATATGTCTCCCCTCTGTATAAGGTGAATCTGTAATGGAATTTCCCATTACTTAAATATCTGCTCATCATTTTCATCATCTCAACTTTCTGTGATGGGATTTTTTTCAGCATATTTGTTACCACACTTCTGCCAATAGTAGGTTCTTTCAATGGAAAGTTTGTATGTGGCACTCACATAACAGGGTGTTGTATTTACTATTAAAATCAAGAGAACAGCTAGCATAAGGACAGGAAAATGCAATTGTTCTTCAGGACCAACTTATATATTATTTGGAGTAAATGTGTTATCACTTAATAACAAGTAGGAAAAAAAATACACCCAAAGTTACCTCTGAAAAGCAAGGATGTATAAAATATATCCTATACTGAAATGATATGTGAACCAATAAATAGTTATAAATTCCTTAATATCTCCTCTTCTAGAGATAGTAAAATCCTTTATAACACAAGCACACTTTCCAACAAGCACATTTGAAATTCTGCCCCACACTCAGCTGTTATAGAAGAATGATATTTTAAGAAGAAGGGGATCTATGTCTTTCTAAACTTGGAGAAGTAGAAAATCATCCCAGTCAAAGAATTACATTTAAGAGACAAAATGCACTTGGGGAGAGAAATGATAATGCTTTGAGTTATTGCAATATTTTATTCTTTAGAAGAAGCTTATCACTGGTAATTTATTCTAAGGTTAAATTATTCATTAAGAAAGTTTCATGAGCTCAAAAGAGAAGACTATGTATTTTGTGAATAAATTTTGTAGGGTCAAACCAAAAATGGGAAAAAATGGAAATTATTGGTTCCATCGGACAGTAAGAAGTTAGATCTTACACTACATTGTGTGTGTGTGTGTGTGTGTGTTTTATCCTAAAAGAATGAGTTTATCAATGGGTGAGGGTAAGATAATAATACACTTATGTGCTTTCAATAAATTACATCAATTATATGAGAAATACTATTGTGATAATATAAAGATATACACATCACAATTCATAGCCTCAACAATAACAGTTTAGTTTTTTCTTTAAGAAAAGTTCATCCTTTGAATAATATAATATAGACTACTGTGATGTCTCATCATATTTTCTGTTATGTGACAGCTTATATCTATTTTTTTTGGTAATACACCTTTTAATAAAGGCTTTATTATAATCACAGAGTAATTTTAATGAACTATAAAACACTTCATTCGTTGGTTGAATGCAGCAATTTTTAATAAGATTTTTGGCAAGGATATCATTAGTTTAAACTAAAGAACACTTTCAGCCGTGTAAGTCTGCGGGGCTTAGTTAAACCTGACACCTTCGATGACACATTAAAAATGCATCAGCGAAAACTTCTAAGTGCTTTAATTTAAGTAACTGTGGAGAAACAGATTAACACATTTGAGTATCTCAGTCAGCCAGACATAATGAAAAAAAAAAAAGTCATTATTTAAGTCAAGTCTTTTCTATGAAGATTTCATATCCTGATAATAAATAGGTGATTTTTTTTTAAGCTGCAGAAACTGAAAACTTTATTGGTCATAGGCTTTCTCAATTCTGAGTTACCAAAATGGTTTTTCTTTAGTTCCCCATTTCTAATTAATATTATGCATATGTTTTTGAAAAAATAATATGCTAACCTGTTTTTAAAGGAAACATAAAATTCTTTTAAAAAATTCTTACTTTGCTATTGGTTGTACTCCCAAATCTGTGTTATTCGGAAATGCTGTAAAGTCAACCTCATGTTTAAGACTTCTGAAATTCCAAAATGCAACAGTGAACAAATGGCAAACAGCAATGACTATGTTTTTGACCCTAGTTACCAAACTCTTGAAATTTGTGGTATGTTTATTTAAAACAGAGATATTATCACAATGCCAGTAAATATTTGATTATCCCACAAAATACATGGAACCATAATTAAATTTTATATTTAGATGATTTTTTTCTTGCTGTTTTGACAACATTTCCCCATAGATATAAAATATCATACATTTTTATGTATTGTCATAACTATGGGGATTTGCTGTAACAATAGCATTACTTTTATTTGACTGCTGTTGTTGAATTTTTAAAATGTTGTGGGTCCTTCTGGGAGCAAATCTGGATGAGTTGGCACAAAGTGAAAGGACAAAATGTAATTTAAAGCAGAGAATGGATTCCACAATGCCTGTGACCTGGTCCATAATGTTTATTGTGTACCGCTGATTGGTCTTTGCATTGCTGGCGTGTGTTACCAAGTGAACTGATGAGTTTATCAAGATCTTTCCTGGGCTAATCAAAGGAGAAGAACTAATATATCTGGGCACCAGGATAATGAAACTAAGGGCTGGTTTGCAGATTACATGGACTTTACTTTGTTTTGGGGTTTTTTTTTGTTGTTTGTTTGTTTGCTTTTTTGAGTTGGGGGGGGTGGTTGGCAGCTGGCTGGTTTGGGGATCCATACCCTTGACTACATTGCCTTTTAATTTAAAGAGATAGATAAATGATAGATAGATGATAGATAGAGAGATAGATAGATAGATGATAGATAGAGAGATAGATGTTAAACTGAGTGCAACTGGGAGGAGATCTGTTGGTTTTAAAGAACCCTAAATGTTCACAATGAAAACAATTTGTATTTTTGTGAGAATTCTGCTTCCACAACCCTGGTTGACATCAGTATTGATAGGCTTAGTCAATATCATAAGTTACCATTATTGATAGGTTGGAAGCATCCAAGAACCACGGCTTTGATCAACAGTGATTGCAGTCTGACCAGTAAAGTTCATGTAAATCATTTGTGTATTTTTAAAACTCTCTTAAAAGCCCAAAATGGTATTGATAAAAGGAAATTGTACTCCTATAAAAACATGCTTGTGTAATCAGCAGTGCTAGCTGACATGACTCTTACATTTGAATCTCGGGCTTCAAAATTTTGAACCTACTGTGAATGTTTTGAGTGTTGGACTGCTGAATTACAATAAGATGTATTGTGTTTAAAGCCCTGTACACATTAAGGCTAATTTTAAAATATCACTTTTAGTAAAAGTTCGTAGCTAATTCTTGTTTCATCTGATGACAAAGTCTTTAAAGATTTCTATGATTTATTATATATAGCATCATATTCATTTGTTGGGAAAAATAAACTGTCTCGGGTTGATTTCTCTGAGAAAAAATGTATTTTCTAGATTTTTAAAGATCTGGTCAATTTTTAGATTCATGGTTAGACTTTTTAGCTTTGAGAAGAAATTTTCTGATTGTGCATTAAATTTTTGGAGGCAAAAATAGATACAAATATTACCAACAGACTTTACTGCTTTAAAAAATTGGAAACCTTGGTAGAAATAATTCAACAATTCATTATTCAGAATAACTTCAGTAATTTTCCTTTATCAATTTGATGTCTCTAGTTTTTGTTCTGTTTCCTTTTGCTTTTACTTCATAATTTTAGCACTTTTAAAGTGACGCTTTCTCTCACATAGCCTCATGTCTTGATGGAGCCTAAAGTGTAACTAAATATCTGCAATTGTGATTAAGACAGGTCTCTGGAATTCGTGAATAGTTTTGCTGTTTTTCTTGCTCTCCATAATAAAATCACCACTTTGGTTTAGGACTCATTATCATAATGCCAGGTGTTTTATTACTGATATTTTTGTTGTTACTGTTACTATCATTAGAAGCTCTTGTGAAAAGGTGGCCTTCACTGGTTTGTTGTAAATTTCATATCCATGCAGAGCAATAACTGGCACAAGGGTCCACAAGAAAATTAAATTGTTTCATTTGAAATAAAGGCTAAATTTACATGAGAATGTCAGTTGTAAAATGAAATATAAATTTTAGTTGAAAATGATGGAAGTAATTAAACATGGCTTGGGAAGCATAGCCTAGGGACTTCAGTGGATCCAAATGTGGCTGATGTTTCTGTTTCTCAAATTTTAACAGAGAAACCTTAATCCTAAACCTTGATCATTAACGTTCCCATATCACCCCCAAAATTCATGAATCTCTTTTTCTGTTTGCACACTAGGCACATAATTAGGTCTCTACACTCTGCATTAATCTGAGGAAAACTGGAAAGTACAGAGTTGGTGCAGCTTTACTATTAGTCACCTCAGACCAACTTAAACTTTAAGTGAATTACTCATACCTTTAAATGTTAAATGCTGGTCTATGTTTGCTGTAACTGTCTTGAGTCTAGAGCCCAGGCTTTCATTCCTATTAAAGTGGCCTTACCACACTTTGCATTAAAATAAAACTCCCTTAGTTATATAAGCTGTGTTATTGGCTCTGAGAAATTATTATTTGTATAAGGAGACTTCAAACAGTAATTTTTTTAACGTAGGATATTTAAAAAACTTTTCCACATGTGGCTAAACATTCTGCTTAATTAAAAATTAATTACAGATTAAAGCAAAGAGAATTGACAATTGAAAAAAAAGACATGCATTTTTTTCTAAAAGCTCAAATAGGGTTCTCCGAGTTAAAAAACAGTATAGCATTAAAGAAGACTAAAATCATTTCATCTAAGGTTTGTGGTGCAATGTCCAAATATAAGTGTATGTTTTAGGATCTTTTTTTGTGTAGAAACTTATATGATAATGTGTCAAGTGTGGCAGATGAAAACCATAGGTGTAAATGTAAATGAATTATAACTCTATAATGATGATAAAATAATGCCCTAAATGAAAGACTTTTTCCCAGTGACCTCTCACATTAGTCATGCTACCTGACCAAACTATAAGCAAGTAACTTGGGAAAATGTAGTTGGTTTCGTTAAGAAATAGATACCATGTGAAAAGCACTGGTAGTTTGCATAGACAATCTCTGGTGTAATTCTAGGTCTAAACTTAAATTATTCAAATTGCTGAGCACCCTAAAGTATTTTAGTTCATTATTATTTTCTAGTATAATTTTTGGTATCGTGTTTGGGATATGTGTCCTTAACCAAATGTTGCTCTAACTAATAGTCAATTAATAAATATTTATTAAGCACCCATCGTGCATTAGGCATGATGTGAGGTGCTGGACCACTACGATCTTAGTTGCTAACACAAAATCATGGAATAATCAAGGAAGGTGCAAACTGCTTCCTCTTCATCACAATGTAATGATTGATATGTTTCCATAACTATCATCAGTTTCCCATAACCTTATTATAACTGATATCCAGAGACAGAATACAAAACTTTGAAGTTTAAAGGAAGCATGTAATTTAAATGTTCTATTTAAAAGTGGGTAACTATTCATTTTTCAAAGTTGAATTGGTTTCACTTTATAAAGATCTGAGGACTAATTAATAAAATATTCAACATGAATCTATTGCTTTGTTTTTAGCCCAAAAGCCACCTTTCCCAGTATTCATTTCTTTTAAAAATTATTTTCCAGTAGCTCAAGTTAACTAAGTCATTTATATTACATTACATTACATTACGCTTTGTTTTTAGCCCAAAAGCCACCTTTCCCAGTATTCATTTCTTTTAAAAATTATTTTCCGGTAGCTCAAGTTAACTAAGTCATTTATATTACATTACATTACATTATATTATGTTATTTTATACCATAAAATTAGGAAGTTTTTTGTAAGGATTTAAACCAAATTTGACTAGGTACATGTTTATAAATAAGATTTCTTCTATCATTCTTTAAAAATTTTCTAAAGATCTGTGGTAAACACAATTGTTTTGTTAAAAGAAACATATTCTCTTTATTTCAAAATCTTAAAATATGCTTAAACAATTCTACTTTCTATAACGAAACATCAGATTTGGAGATATATTAAGGAACAATTAAGAATAAAGAGGTAAGTGAACTCAAAAAAATGACAGAAATAGTTTTCTCTAAACTGCCACCACTGATGTCGGAGATGATAGGACAAAATGTTTAATCCATTCAAGGGAAGAAAATGTACAGTTTCTAAATATCCAAAGTATCTTTAGGATATATAATTTTTGATTTTTATATTTGCTTTGCTTTTATTTGTTTGGATTTTACTTGTTTTGATTTACAACGCTAAGTATTCTCAAAAACACCTCAAAAGTTAGTTAAATATTTGTTTGTTTTTAGGAACTCTCAGAAAATGAAGTGATTGGATCTTATTTCTCTGTGAAGTCTTTCTTTTGGAGGGTAATGTCTAAATCATTTATGTTAATATTCCTGATTTTTGGTTCTGGATAGTAATTTTGAAAGTTAATTAAGAAATTCACTTTTCAAAATAGGTTCTCAAATAGATGTATTCATTTGCCTTCTTTATTAATTTTTATTCTAAGTCATCTAGGTAACTAATTTTTATTTCTTCATTTGCGAAAATTAAGAACTTCATGCATTTAACATATTTTCTTGAAGTAAGTTCTTTGTGGAACCAAGTTTATTCCAAATTCTGAAGAGCTAGAGGCCCAGGGACCTTCCAGGAATATGATGGTGCTTTCTAGAAGGCCCATTAAAACTCTTTTTTCCTCTCTTATAAAATGGGATTATTTTCTGCTCCATTTCTGTTTGAGAAAAATCTACTTCTATTACAGTGATCTTAGACTAGATGTATACTAGATAATCAGTGCCCTTTTTCTGAAAAAAAAATTCTATGATTTAGAAAATAGCAACTCTGCTTTTGACTTAAGTAAGGCAAAAATGAAAATTTCACAGAGAATTTGTTTTAAATGCCATTGCAATTTAATGTATTCTATGATGATTTAAGCATAATGAGCTCTGTCATCCACTTTTCTCTGCTGTATTTCTGCTTTATGCACAGCAAGATTTATTACTAATGCACTTACTACTTTGCCGTTTAGAGTGTCCCTCTTTCTTTGAAAATTCGCACTTGCTATATGATTACGTAGCGATAGATATTGCAATGAAAATGCTACACTCTTAGGGCTTTGCCATGTTTCTTTCTTGACTTTAAGACTGCTCATGATTGAAGATTACCCTTTTCCTTTAGAATTTTAAGATTTGTTCCAGTGTCTCTTAAATAGACTGGCAGGTACCAGATTAAGTCACATATTGACCAGTCAGCTAGTATAAGCCACATCTATTGATCCTTACTGATCCTTATCGATCTACTAATCCACCACACATGCTTTTTCCCCTCAACCTTTTATTGTTGTGAGCTTATTTTAATGATTATAGCCTCCTCATTGCCTTTCAGTCTACTGTATGGCTGCCCTTGCTGAAGGTATTCTGCATCTTTGCTGGAATAATTCTTTTTATATATTCATGTATTGTCCATGAGCACACAGTATGACTACTTTTGAATTGTTCCATGACCTTAAAAGGAAAATGGCTTTATGCTAAAATTTTTTCACTATTTTTTTAAGACCTACAAATATGGTGACCACAAATATGGTGACTTCGCATGGAACATTTCTTTGAGAGCAGAATTTGGGGGTGTTCTGTGTTGAGTTTGCTCTATGTGCAGAAAATGTGCAGACTCGTCATTGTGAATGAAGATTGACCATCAGGACCAACTCCACAATTAATACTTTTTCAATGGTGTCCCTTTCAAGTGGCTCTTTCCACTTTGCTACTTCCAAATTAGTCTTCTGCTTATCAGCACTCTCCATTTGATTTTATTTATCCTTAAATATTCTTTAATAACCTTTCTCAGTGTCTTGAACCACCTGATTTTAAAATAACAAGTTTAAAAGATGGCTTTTTTGTATCGAAGGGACAGTCATAAATTTCTTTTCTCAGCATATGAAAACAAATGAGTGACAAACAAATTAAGTCATAAAGGAAGAACCTTTAAGAGACATTTATTTTACCAATGAGGAAACTAAGGCCCAGAGAAGTGATGTCATTGCCCTGAAGTAGCCAGATGCTATGATCAGGACCAATATTTCTCTCTGTCTGAATGCCATAGAAATAAACGTTTCGAGGAACTTAAAGCAGTAAAATTCCTCTTTGGGCTGATGATAAACAGAGATGCCATGTATAGATAGAGCTGCTCCTTAATTTTTCTTTATTGACACCCTTTCAAATTTCTCTTGCATTGTCTGACCCTTGTCTTCAGCAGCTCTTTAAGCCACCAATGGATAGCTGTGTTTGAGGGCCATGACCTTGCTGGCTGATGTCCTATTTACAAAATCAGAAAACCTGTGACCATGTCTACTTTAGATGAGTATTATTATCTCACACAGTCACATTCAGAGGTCACCTGACAACCAATTCCATTGCTCTTTACCCAAGCAATATTGTTTTCTGATGACCTTTAAGGGGAAATATATATGAAAGGTTTCTCACGGACATTTTCAGATATGCAAAAAACCTAGTGAGAACTTGCTCAGCTGGAATATCAGTGACACCTGCTAAATCTTAATTTCTCTTGAAAGAAAAATAATGGAAAGAAAAGACTGAAGTGATACAGATATATTCTAATTTTCCAAAAGCATATTATTTACAATTCATCAAAACACCACATCTTAGGACACAAAATATTAAGTAGTGAATATGGCAATTACCATGTTTCTCATGAAAACAACAAAAATTATGTGAAATCAAATCAGATTACTCTAAGTCAGAATTTTATTAAAGACTTAACTTCTTGAAGGATGGTAACTTAGTGTAGTTCTTTCACATATTTAGCGTGATTAATTTTCTTCCCAGTTACCTCCATTGAGTAAACACCTAGACTCTGCTAACAGAATTGAACAAACCATCTTACATGAACATTGCAGTGAATTGAAGAGAAGTTTTAATATTTTTAAAATGGAAAAAGGTGCGATATGCCAAGACAACTCATATAAAAATGGAGAAAAGGATCATAATGGTCAAAGGAGAGTACATAGAAAAATACAGAACAATAGAGAGCTATGTCAGAGCACTGCTTTACGGTCAGGTTAAGTGAAAGTGCAGTTGAAAGAAGCCTGAAGATTAAGGAAAAGAGTTAATGACTTTGTAAAACAAGAATGTGATCCTGTCCTAAAGCACTTACATTCTGAACATTCAACTGTATATGACATACACCCAGGAAAAGTTCAGGCATTATTTCCATTTTAGGTATGAGAATAAGACTCTCAAAAAATATTTTTAAATTTTAATTACAAGTCTCAAAAAAAAGGTCTCTGTAAGTCAAACCCAGGATTATTATTCCTTTACCATACCATTGAAAGAAATTTGTAGATTATTTTAGCAAGCCAATGAGATTATAATATATATGATTATTTTGTATCAGTATATATTTTGAACAAACATAGTAAAAACTTAAGAACTTTTGCTTGGCCACAATTAAGGAGGATGGTTAAAACATATAAAGTAAACATATGTAACTTCCTGGCACCATAAATTGTATCCAGAAGCAACAGAAATGCCAAAGAAAATTTAAGGATAAAAACCAGGAGAATTTCTCTAAGGATTATAGTGCCAGTGAATCATCTTCTGAGAAAAAAGGGATTGAAACTTTATTATTAGATGAGACACTTCCAACTAGGCTGGACAAAGCACCGGCAGGGTTTTCTGTAAAGGCAATTGAGAGGATGCTTTGAGAGGGTGGATGGACTGCAGAACAAATCTACTGGTTGGACTTCATCATCCAGGCGCAATTCATTGGAATAAACTCAGCAGGAAAAGGAAAAGATAGAACATGGCTGTGCCTGGGATTGAGCTAATAATTGCTCCACACTCTAGTCTTTGCAGCACAAAACAGTCATTCTAGGCTGTCATTATCTCTCCTTTGTACTGTCTCCTGGATCATTTGATTAAATAAAAAGCACACGCACCCCTGTGCTGAAAATAGAGGAAAAAGCTCACTCCACACATGGCTTACTCCAAACACACAAGCCGCATCTTTCACTCCAGTTTCACAATGTCTGGTTCTCATTTGGGAGGATTAGGTTGAACACAGATAATAAAATCCAGGATAACAAAAGCCAAGGATTATTTGTACATATCAGGGAGAGGATTGGTATAACAGTGTTCCCTTAGTCATACGTTAAGTCTAAATAGATTTTTTTTGTTTTGATCTATTTTTAAATCAGGATCTATAATAATAGGATATAGCTTATTATAAGTGATCCAGTTTTTCAAAGAATGGAATTAGTAAACTGTATTGACTAGAATTGGAATATAGAAATGTTCTCAATTTATATGCTAGATTCTACAACTTCACCACCTTGTTAATAGACATTAGACTATAATTTATTACAGGGTACAGTTAAGTCTCATATACTTTACTGAGTAACATATGCTAGAATTATTACCACCTACCTATTTTTACTTCCTCTAAGCCCCTGATTAGCTTTTCTCAATAATCTGTAACCAAGGACATATGAGTATTTTATCTAAACGAAAAACAAGGTGTTTCAAAAAATCCTATACCAGTTAACTGCCTTTTTTTGGACCACGAATTTCTTAGGCTCTGTCCAAAAAAAATGAGATATAGTGGGGAAATCATGGATTACTTGTCAGCAACCCCCAGATTCAAATCTTAGCCTCGCCAGTCTCTAGCCATTTGGCTTAGAGTAGGGTATTTGTCTTCTCTTTACCTCAGTTTCTATACCTTAAAAAGGTGATGCTTGTCATGAAAAACACTGAAGTATGAAAACTGCAGCACATAATAGTTGCTTAATGAGTGTTTCTTTCTGTGTGATCTAACTTATCTTTCAGACTATCCTAATCCAGTCCTCCCAGCTGATGCTGTTAAAGATGGTGACTCTTATCAGTGATAATACTATTGTTCAGAAACTTTCTCTAGCTGTTCTAAAAAAGTCCTTTAATACAAACTTTCAACTCCACCCGACAATTTCCCTCCTGAATTTCTTGTTTAGCTGTAGCTTTCTTTATCGATCTCTTGCTGCTCTTGGTCTTGGTAGTGAAGGACTCTTTGGGTTGCTTTTTTGGTAGCAAAGGCAGCAAAGGGAACTGTTATGTGGGACAAAATTTCTCTTTAGAAATAACTTTTAAGTATTACAGAAGATTCACATGTGGCATGAAAGTTTAATATGATCATAGTTATTCCTATTCATGAAACATTTATTCTTCTGAAGCCTTATCACTTTTTTGACATTGGAAATAATCTCCAAGAAATTTTGAAGAAAGAGACTTGGAAAAATTATTCTCTCCATGATTTCTCTTGCTATGCTTCTTTTCTCTGATACACCTAATGACAAAAACCTGAAACCACTTAAGCAGGATCTATCACTATGTAATCTCTGGGCTCTATTCTCTTGACCACTGCAACAGCACTCTACTAAAGAAAATGGTGGCTGGAAACTATAGAGTTGCACTGGCATTTATCTTCATTGTGCTATAGGACATTTTCTGACAATGACCTGAGCATATACATATTTTTTTCAAATAATGTCTTTTGGAGAGCAATTCTAAATGCTGATCAAAATGAGGGGTTGAGAGTGGCACAAAACTTTCCCATACAGCTCTGATCATTCATTTTCATCCAGACGTGTGGCAGGCCTGCTCTTCCTCTCCTGGGATTCTGCAGAGCAGAGCTTCAGAGTCCTTATTGCCAAAATGCACAAGTAAGTTCAACCATTCAGTTCATTTATTTTTTCTGAGCTTGCATGAGCTGTGAACTCTGGATGCTGACTTACTATACTGAGAACCCATTCCTTATCCTAACCTATTTTATACACGTGAAAAGGAATTGTACTCTTGAATTCTTTTTTGAGGAATAATATAAGAAAACTAATATTCTCTTTAAAGTGCCAGCTTACTAATTCTAAAATCATACTAAAGGTATGTGCTATTGACTAACCATATCAGGCTTTGAAATTTATATTATTATCTGGTATCTTGATAATCTTTATTCATTCGGAACTTGGATGAATATTCTTTGTGAGAGTGGATCTCAAACTTTGGTGTGTACAAGAATCACATGGGGCACATGTTGAAATACAGAAGAAACTTTACTCCACAAGAACTGTATCACATCCGGGAGGATCAGGCCTAGCAATTTCAACAAATTGACCACTAAAATTTGAGAACTACTGACTTAAAACTTCAAAGATTATTTCTTCCTTTTGCGGGTTTGGTTCTTTGCTTTGAAGCTGGGTTGGCTTTTCTTTTTATTCTTCCCTCAGCTTTACTTCCCCCCCCCCTTTTTTTTGAAATGTATTGATTATACATATTTGTGGGAAACAAAGTTATGTTTCAATACAAGTATACAGTGTTTGATGATCGGGTTTGGTTCTTTGCTTTGAAGCTGGGTTGGCTTTTCTTTTTATTCTTCCCTCAGCTTTACTCCCCCACCCCTTTTCTTTTTGAAATGTATTGATTATACATATTTGTGGGAAACAAAGTTATGTTTCAATACAAGTATACAGTGTTTGATGATCAAATCAGTCTTTCTTCCTTTTTCTTTCCCCTCTCAAATAGAGTTATAATTCAACAAGGAACTAGTTGAGAACATTACCTTAGATAACTAAGTAATAGCTGTAATAATGCTAATTTTATCGAGGGATGTCTTGGATTTAATACTCCTTGCCCTTTAGGTGCTCAATAAGTAACTTTTGGTTGACAGGAACTAGTTGAGAACATTACCTTAGATAACTAAGTAATAGCTGTAATAATGCTAATTTTACCGAGGGATGTCTTGGATTTAATACTCCTTGCCCTTTAGGTGCTCAATAAGTAACTTTTGGTTGAATGATTATCAATACTTCAAATATTTATTGTATTATTTGGATACATTCTATGAAAAAAACATTAATAAAGGAAGGAAATAAACTTTTCATAATTGTTCAGTAGGCTTATACTTCTCTCTTTAAATGCTCCAAATATCTAGACCAATCTGCTTTCCTGATCAGTAAATTTAGAAGCAGGACTAAAGAAGGACTTTAAATAGCATAAATAATATCCATGCCAGAAAGTAGATAATGTTTACAATCATATTAATTAACAATAGGTGTTAGAACGTAGGGGACAGCCAATGAGCATGCACCGTATAACTTTGGGTTCTCACACTCGAGTGTCTCACACTTTAATCACCTGTGAGGTGGTGAAACCAGAGGTTCAGGCCCCACTCCCAGACTTCCAGGCTGCACTCTCAAAGTTTCTGATGTCATTGGTCTGGAATGGGGTCAAAGAATTTGAATTTCTAACAAGTTCCCAGGTGACACTGATGCCACTGGTCTGTGGTCCACATGTTGAGAAATATGCTGTTCAGAGGAAGGAAACTTTTTAAACAGAGCAGCCAGTGACTCAGAAGTACCTCAGAGAACATCAAAGTTGGTTTTCAAAGTTTTTCTTCGCTGTCAGTCTCAGCTCATCATCACCTCTTCAATGAGCTCCCCAGAACACTGATTTTAAAAATAGGTAAAAGTAATAAATGACTGTCTTAGGCAAATTAAATCTTCATTGTTTACAGAATATACTTTTTTCTATGCAGGCCCCCCAAAACCCAACCCCCCCATACATACATGCAGAAGAGTGTTCTCAGTACACTTGGGACCCTGGAGTCCAGCTTTGAAAATCAAGGATAAGAAAACTGAGTCCCAGAGAGGGAGCAACATGCCCAAGTCATGTAGCCAGAAATTTCTAGAAAGATATGATTGAATATTTATGTTAAGTGTTTGTCTTTTCTACTATTGGTAGCCTCAGTTTAAATCTTCCTCATTGGTCTGGAATGGGGTCAAAGAATTTGAATTTCTAACAAGTTCCCAGGTGACACTGATGCCACTGGTCTGTGGTCCACATGTTGAGAAATATGCTGTTCAGAGGAAGGAAACTTTTTAAACAGAGCAGCCAGTGACTCAGAAGTACCTCAGAGAACATCAAAGTTGGTTTTCAAAGTTTTTCTTCGCTGTCAGTCTCAGCTCATCATCACCTCTTCAATGAGCTCCCCAGAACACTGATTTTAAAAATAGGTAAAAGTAATAAATGACTGTCTTAGGCAAATTAAATCTTCATTGTTTACAGAATATACTTTTTTCTATGCAGGCCCCCCAAAACCCAACCCCCCCATACATACATGCAGAAGAGTGTTCTCAGTACACTTGGGACCCTGGAGTCCAGCTTTGAAAATCAAGGATAAGAAAACTGAGTCCCAGAGAGGGAGCAACATGCCCAAGTCATGTAGCCAGAAACTTCTAGAAAGATATGATTGAATATTTATGTTAAGTGTTTGTCTTTTCTACTATTGGTAGCCTCAGTTTAAATCTTCTACCTTACCTTATAATTTTATTTCAAGTTTCTATGCTTCACACTTAGACTAAATATTTATCTNTCCCCCCCCCCTTTTTTTTGAAATGTATTGATTATACATATTTGTGGGAAACAAAGTTATGTTTCAATACAAGTATACAGTGTTTGATGATCGAATCAGTCTTTCTTCCTTTTTCTTTCCCCTCTCAAATAGAGTTATAATTCAACAAGGAACTAGTTGAGAACATTACCTTAGATAACTAAGTAATAGCTGTAATAATGCTAATTTTACCGAGGGATGTCTTGGATTTAATACTCCTTGCCCTTTAGGTGCTCAATAAGTAACTTTTGGTTGAATGATTATCAATACTTCAAATATTTATTGTATTATTTGGATACATTCTATGAAAAAAACATTAATAAAGGAAGGAAATAAACTTTTCATAATTGTTCAGTAGGCTTATACTTCTCTCTTTAAATGCTCCAAATATCTAGACCAATCTGCTTTCCTGATCAGTAAATTTAGAAGCAGGACTAAAGAAGGACTTTAAATAGCATAAATAATATCCATGCCAGAAAGTAGATAATGTTTACAATCATATTAATTAACAATAGGTGTTAGAACGTAGGGGACAGCCAATGAGCATGCACCATATAACTTTGGGTTCTCACACTCGAGTGTCTCACACTTTAATCACCTGTGAGGTGGTGAAACCAGAGGTTCAGGCCCCACTCCCAGACTTCCAGGCTGCACTCTCAAAGTTTCTGATGTCATTGGTCTGGAATGGGGTCAAAGAATTTTAATTTCTAACAAGTTCCCAGGTGACACTGATGCCACTGGTCTGTGGTCCACATGTTGAGAAATATGCTGTTCAGAGGAAGGAAACTTTTTAAACAGAGCAGCCAGTGACTCAGAAGTACCTCAGAGAACATCAAAGTTGGTTTTCAAAGTTTTTCTTCGCTGTCAGTCTCAGCTCATCATCACCTCTTCAATGAGCTCCCCAGAACACTGATTTTAAAAATAGGTAAAAGTAATAAATGACTGTCTTAGGCAAATTAAATCTTCATTGTTTACAGAATATACTTTTTTCTATGCAGGCCCCCCAAAACCCAACCCCCCCATACATACATGCAGAAGAGTGTTCTCAGTACACTTGGGACCCTGGAGTCCAGCTTTGAAAATCAAGGATAAGAAAACTGAGTCCCAGAGAGGGAGCAACATGCCCAAGTCATGTAGCCAGAAACTTCTAGAAAGATATGATTGAATATTTATGTTAAGTGTTTGTCTTTTCTACTATTGGTAGCCTCAGTTTAAATCTTCTACCTTACCTTATAATTTTATTTCAAGTTTCTATGCTTCACACTTAGACTAAATATTTATCTGTTTCATGACTATGCAGTTACTCAGTAAAATCCACAGTTCAATTGTGGAGTTTCTTTTTAGAAAAGTGCCATTTTGAACAAAATTATTGAAGAAGAAAAATCTACTTAAAAAAAAATCTGATTACTTCATCTTTGGAACATTAGTGTGTCTTTTTTCTCTTTTTCTTAGCCTTTTGTGCAGGTCGCCTAATTCCCACACCCTGTTTTTAGGAAGAATACTCTTCTTCCTCCCCCGCTCCTTTAGTTTCTGAAGTCATTTTGGAAATGTACTTCTAGGTATAGAAAGCATTTTGTGACAGACATTTTTGTTTGTTTGGCTGCTGTGGCAGGCGGGTACAAGAATCTGAACCCTTGACCTTAGTGTTATCACACTCCACTCTAACCAACTGAGCTAACTGGCCAGCCCATATTTTATAACAACTAATGGCAGTAGGTAAAGCTTCCGTTAAGTTCATTTTATTTCTGTGAAAGCATGAATGATCGCATGGAAAGCATTCTTTCTCTTCCTCACCCTGTAAGTCAAGTTCACGTTCCCATGTTAAAAACAGGAGTAGGAGCAAGCACGTAAGGATTTCAGACATGGTACTATCAAAAAACTATCTTCACATTGCTAACGGAAGATGCTGTATAACCTAGATTTTACCCGACTATTATTTGACCGAGTGACATATGAAGCATGACTTCTGCTTCTAAAGAGTACATAGAAAGTGGCATTAAGTATATTCTTCAACATGCTGAAACATTGTAAATATAAATACATGGGCTCATATAACAGACGAGTAGAAGCTGATATCATGAATTAGCCGCATAGAAAAATTTATAATGGAATGTCATTTCTAATATAATTAACTCACTTACCTGAAGAGTAAGTACCCTTTGGCTACATTGTACTTCAATTATGATTACCTTTAAGCCCATGAGTCTCAGCCCTAAACACCAATATTGAAAGACACTCAGGAGTAAAGATCAGAAATACTAAGGTTCTGGTCACACATTCACCATTTTTTAGCCCAACCACTATAAGCATCAATTTCCTTATCAGTAAAATGTGGCTAAGAGGCTTTGCCTTCCTAACTCACAGGGTTTTGGTAGAAACCAAATGACATAATGTATATATACATGCACTTCTAAATTCTAAAGCTGTGTATAAATGAGCCGTTATTAACTCCTTGGTCTTTGCTAAGAAAATTATTTCTTCTTACTTGCCACAATATTTGTTTTTCTTCTTTCATCCTTTGCCACCCATACTCCTTAACAAAAGTTTCAGATCCAAAGTCTAGAACCTGATGCTTTAGATCAGCAGAAGTTGTTTAAATCAATCAATCAATCATTCAATCAGTCACACAACAAAATGCATTACTGCATTATATAATAATAAATAGCATGAAATCTTAGACCTAAAAAAAAAATTAAAAACCTGGACCATCACTTGGTGAAATGAATTGTAAACAATTATTTTAATCTGACAAGCCCATTGTTCAAACAAAATCCAATGTGGAAATCCAATATACAGAACAGATGGGAGCAGAGGGGCTCTGGCTGGAGAGAGCACGGAGTTCTATGGAATTTGCAGGTGATCCATGAGCCGTCTCTTGCACTTCGGAACGCAGTTGGAGATGCAATGTGGAAATCCAATATACAGAACAGATGGGAGCAGAGGGGCTCTGGCTGGAGAGAGCACAGAGTTCTATGGAATTTGCAGGTGATCCATGAGCCGTCTCTTGCACTTCGGAACGCAGCTGGAGACTAGTTGGAGATGATTCTTGAAGCTTGCAGAGGTTAGGAGGGCTGTAGGCAAAGTCCTGCTTTGATATTAATAAAGCAGAGCCACCAAGCAATATTTAAGATTTGCTGTTCAACAAGGCAGGGAAACGTGCACTGTGATTTAGAAAGATTTCCACTGGAATGTTCAAATATTAGAAGTATTTTATTTTAAAGAATGTAGATTGCATTTTCCTAATAAAAGCACCCTGAAATGCATGACTTCTGATGATATCAGATGAAAATGGCTATGGCATTACAATAGTACGGAAAAAGGTAGGAAGTCAAAGTGGGAGGGACAGTTATGCAAAATAGGCTGTAACTTTATAATGTTGACATAGAAGGGATTAGGTAGAAAGTAAGGCTAATCCTTGATTTAGACTTGGAATACTTTGAGGTTGAGAGGAATGTTGAATTTCTTCATGAAATGACTATAAGAGGAAAAAACACGCTTAATAATATGAAAGGAACAATAATTTTTATAGTACTGCTTGGCGCTGAATCCAGATTGAAAATGTCTTAACATTTAACTGCTTTCTCTGGCTTGTTTTATATGGTATTTAGTTCAAAGAGATTATATGGCCATTTTTAGTAGACTTGCTAATTTTTAAAAATTCTGATTTTGTTCACTGGCTTGAATATTGTGATTTAGAAATGAGCATAATAAAAATCATTAAAGAAAATGTTCAAATACTAGAAGGAGAAATAAATTCAGAAACACACTTGCCAAAATAAATCACACATGTAATTTTAAAAATAATTTTAAATATTTGTGATGCAAGTTTCAGGCATAAGCAAGACATTTTGGGTGGGTATATTGATTTTGTTTTCTGTTCTATAGTACCTTAGATAGTTTTATAGTGAGCTGAAACTCGATTATCTCTTAATGCTACAAGAAGAAAACGTTTAAATTATCTGAATAAAACTTGCAACTAATCTTACAACTAAAAACCACCTGTAAAATCCATTTGTAACATGAAAAAAGAGATTTTCAAAAATCATAAATAATTAAAAAGTAAATATCATAGTGTGGATGAGGCCTTTGATATTTATAATATTCATTTTATACATATTTTAACACAGGTATCTTGTACACATATGTAAACATTCTCTGATATCTTGAAATATCTACACTGGGAATTTTAAGAGTAGAAAAGCTAAACTGACTTTATTTTGAGCACTCACCTCTTTTACACACAAATTTATCATGAGGTGATAATTGTGTAAGTTATTAATTATTTTATAGTTATATTATTATAAAAATAATTTATGGAGTATAATTCTTTATTGTAATTAATTTTATAATTAATATTTTAATTATTTTATAATTAATAAATAGTTATACTCCATAAATTATTTTTATTTAAAAAACTGTATCTGCCTATTTTTTTATTTTTTGAAAACTTATAGCAACAGGAGAAGGGGTAATGCCAAATGACCTAATTCAGTTTTCGTTTGCCCAAAATGACCTAACTCAGTCTTCCTTTGCCAAAAGTTTCAGACCCAAAGTTTACGTCTGTCAGACCTGCACAGAAAGTCACATCTTTGGAGGGGAATAGTCAGCATTACCTTGATTGAGGGGCGAGACCTCAAGGCAATGGATTCCAATGGGTTGAGTGACCCCTATGTGAAGTTTCGGCTTGGGCATCAGAAGTACAAGAGCAAGGTAATCTTATCTCTATCGTCAGTGTTTAGAAGGCATTGGTTGGTTAATAGCTGTGCTTGGGGAGATGAAAACACTAGATGATTTTTTAAATGCTTAATGGAACTTTTTGAACATCATGTCAGAAAACAAGACCAACAATTGTATTGCTTTCATTATTTTATGTGCTAGTTAACCTTGGGTAAACTACTTAACTTCTCTATGTCTCAATTTCTGCATCTATGACACAGGAATAATGGTAGGAACTATCTATTACCATATCTGTGAGTATTAAACAAAAAAAAAGCATCAACAACAAAAGGAACATAGTTGATGCCTGGCACAAAGAGTAAAAAAAGATAAAATAAAGAGCTCAAAGAGTGTTGGCTATTATTATTATTGTTGTCGTTGCAAGTAGTGCTAATATCAGCACTACAAGTAGCATTATTGTACATGCCATACAAATCTTTATACATTACTCTGAGTCGTTTTATTCAACCGGACTTGCACCAGTATAGACTGCAAGTTTTTGAGTTCATTTAGGAAATGAAGGGCCAAACTCCTGCTGCCACGATGAACAATGTGCCATAGGACAAGTTACTTAGTTTCTCCATACCTCAATTTCCTCATCTGTAAAAATGAGAATTAAAATAATGCCTACCTAACAAAGTTATTGAGAAGGTTAAATGATTATATGTTATGCATGTAAAGGGCTTCTCATACTGCCTTGCCCATAATAAGTACTTGGTAAATGGTAATAGTGAAGGAAGAGGAAGAGTAGCAGCAGTAGTAATAATTATCCTGTGGAATAACAGTTGCATTAGTAGTAATAATGTATTATGTTAAATAATAATATCACTATATTATTGATAGAAGTAATAATAATGAGTAAAGGTCATAGTAGGCACAGCTATATTTTGGGCACATCTTATCTAGGTTGTATCCAACTATGACGCCTTTACTGGTCAGTTTTTGCAGCTGGTATTTATAGACAGCTTGGAATGACTCGTCATATCCACCTTGTATTAAAGATCATATGCCATTTTGATAGGAACTCCCTCACCTTGGTGTCATTATGTCGTGGATTTTTGATAAACAATTTGCCTAGGTCCCTTCTGGCCTGGGAAGTTTTCCTTAGTACGTACGGTAATTAAGGTATCACAGAGCTGATTGGTTAGCAGGCAGCGAGGACTGCTAGCAGGCTGATTCGTTACCTTAAGGAGTGCCCTCATGGAAGGGGAAGGCATCATTTCTGATCTGAAGGAAATTAGATAGGGAAGACAGTCCTAAAAAAGAAAACTGAAAAGTTAGCCTGGTTATGGCCAGGTAAGTAAGACAGACAACTCACCCAAAATAGCATAGAAGTTCATCTGAGCCCAATTATAAGATACCTGAAGCATTTCATTCAGTGCCATCTTTTTTTTTTTTTCTGCCAAGGGGCTTAATAACATATTTTAAAGTAGCTGCTGATTCCAAAAATAGGCACCTATGACCACTTCTATCTTGTCCTTTCTCAATTAGCACAATTTCCATGTTCCAGTAGGCTTAAAACATTACTTATTTTTATAGTTCTGCTCTTTATGTATGAAATATAAAACCCAGCTATGGACATGTGTCTCTTTTTGCTCTTTCTTTCCATGATCTATTGCTGATTAATTTCAGATTATGAACTTTAAAAATCGTGATTCATTTGCATTATCTTTGCACATAACATACTTCATTGCTTTCAAGCTCTTTACATCTGAAGATCTGTCTGTCATTCACTAAAGAGAGAACAGCCCACTTCATGTTTTCCTGCTGAAAAAAAAAGAACAGGGAAACAAATATGTTTTGATTAACCCAGTGGTGAATGGAATTTTGAAACACATCAATATAGATCACTTTGTTCATTGATTCTACCAAGTGTCTTATCTGAATACTTAAGTTGTACTTCAGATGAGACATCTTTCTTGTACATGCAACACAAAGAACATATATGTCATATAAACACATACATATGTACTCACATATATATGAGAGTACTTCAAAAGAGTTTGTGGAAATGGAATTAAAAGATGACACAAACCTTTCTATGAACTTTTTGAAGACCCCTCATATATTTACTTATTAATTCACAAGCAATTTTGGCATATGGTTTTGGAGGAAGAGTCTTGAAGCTCTAATCAAAGACTTCGAGTTAGAGTCTGGACATTAAAATGTACTGAACTTAGATGGGTCACTTAAACTCCAGGTTTCAGTTTCCTCATATCTAAAATGGAGATAGTACATCAGTGCTATAATTCTGTGGTAAAAGTTTGTCCGACAACCCAAAAGCTTCTTGCTTTTTCCTCCTGCTCCCATGGAACTTTACTGTTTTTCATGCACTAGCTCAGGATTCCAGTATGTGTGGGGAGTAAGGAAAAGAAGGAAACTCTTGGAATCCTTATCTTTCCTTATTATGAGATGACTGACTGTGAGTTTTGTCTTCATGGATTAACTATGATTATGTAAAAGCTGAGCGAGCTGTTTCATCTGTAGACTATTTACATTTTTAATATAATTTATATTTCTCATCTGTTATTTAAGATAATCAAGGGGGCACTTTTTGGTTTTCAGGACATGTTATTTAGGGTCCATGTAGGTGGTATGCAGTAAAAATGTTAGAGCTCTAATGACTCGTTTCCATTATTTCTGAAATCTTTTGTTCAAGTAGCACACGTACATGCTTTTTTCTAGATAGTACCTAAAATTTGATTTAGTTACTCAAGTTACATTTTTAAAAAGGACTGCTATTACTAAGACAATAATGACTTTTCTGTTTTCCAGATTATGCCAAAAACTTTGAATCCTCAGTGGAGGGAACAATTTGATTTTCATCTCTATGAAGAAAGAGGAGGAATCATTGATATCACAGCATGGGACAAAGATGCCGGGAAAAGGGATGATTTTATTGGCAGGTTTGTGAAATTTGTTACTTTTGGTTCGCCAAAGAGATGGTGAATATCTGTTGAAAGTATATTCACTTTAAGTATGATTATTGTCAATAATCTTCACTGTTTTGAAAGAAGGGATCTTAACCATGGTAAGCCAATACTTGGATAAACTGAAAAATAGATTTGAGGACTGACCAGTAGGTGGCAGTTTTGACCAGTTGATGGACACAAACTATCTAAATTCGATATCCAGAAATTTTCTCCAGATGTCAGAATATTGTGCGTAAAAGTTATGGGAGTTGAGAAAGAGGAATTTCATCTGATATAAGATACTTCAAGGAACAAAGAACATATTCATAGTCTGCAAAGTGATCTGAGATAATATTTATTTTCATAAAGCATATTGTGACCATGAAATGCATTATTTTCTACAACTCCCCAGAAGGCAGAGGGTCTTTATAATCTCTTAGGAGTTCATAAATCTGTAAAGAGTTCCCAGGTTTTAGTGAAGGAAGCATGTAAGGGAGGCAGATCCATGTTAATCTGATAATGCAGTGAAGAAAGGAGTATTCTGAGGCTTACATGACGTTTCTTCACAAAGTCAAGGTTATTTTGGATGGCTACTTAAATCACATGAATTGTTTTCTTATTTTAAAGCCTATATTTATTTTTTTGATAGTTACATATGTGTCTTTGTAGCAAAACACACCCAAACCTGCCAATACTGAAATGAAGCGTGGCGTACAGAAGAATTTGTTTAAAAAATTCTTTCTTCATTATAGTTCACATGAATTCCAAGTCTTTAAACACACAGCCTGAAGAAAATTCATACATATTAATAGTAAAGGGAATTTTACTCTAGAAGAGTAAGAGCAGGAATCCAATCCAACATATCTATGTCTTTATTTTTTAATAATTCTAATATATATATGCTTTAAGCAGTAGTTTGCTTCATAGGTTTATAAAGTGAGAGGTCAAAAATTAGCTTCAGTTAACCTTTAATATTTTACTTATAAAATGTAATTGGAGAAACACTACTGTAACCCAATACTATGTTACTTTTCAATCCTTTTTTAAAGCAAAGGGCTAATTGCACATTTTTGCCCTCCAGTAAAACACTGTTTTCAGAGTTTCCTTAAAGTTCTGTCTTGTGTTCTTTGGGGTATACCACTAGCTTAAGTAGAGGTATACATCTGTTAATACATTAAATACATTTTTTTATAATTATATGTTTATGATTCTTTCTCAATAGGCTATGAGCTCTTTCAAAGAGGTACTATCTAGCTATTCTTTGAAAGGTTAATTCATTTTTATAGTTTATAGCAGTGTTAGTTCTATTTGGTAACCACAAGATAATCAGAATGACAGTCATGTGGGCCGGCCCGGTGGCGCACTGCTACAGTGCGCCGCTTGGGAAGCGCGGCGGCGCTCCCGCCGGGAGTTCGGAGCCCACATACAGACTGGCCACTCACTGGCGGGGGGAGGTGCGGGAGCAACACCGAGGGTGGCGATCCCGTAGCCGGTCCCGGTCCGGTACGGGTGCGACACTGAGGGTTGCGATCCGGTGCCGGGCACGAAAAAACACAAAAAGGAAGGAAAAAAGAAAAAAGAATGACAGTCATGTGGGCCGGCCCGGTGGCGCACTGCTACAGTGCGCCGCTTGGGAAGCGCGGCGGCGCCCCCGCCGAGAGTTCGGATCCCACATACAGACTGGCCACTCACTGGCGGGGGGAGGTGCGGGAGCAACACCGAGGGTGGCGATCCCGTAGCCGGTCCCGGTCCGGTACGGGTGCGACACTGAGGGTTGCGATCCGTTGCCGGTCACGAAAAAACACAAAAAGGAAGGAAAAAAAAAAAAAAAGAATGACAGTCATGTGTAACTTGCTACCTCAATCTCTTTACTTCGTATTGAAACTTTCTTAGATTGGTAAATAATGAAGGGAGTATGCTCTAAAATAGACTGGCTTTCTGTGCTTCTGGGTACATATTACATGAATTCCTTCATATCCCTTTTTCTATCTTTTTTCATATTGACAGATGTTCTTTTATATATATTTTTTTCTTTGGGAAGAATTTCAAACTTAGGATGTTATGAAAATTTCTCAGCCCATTTGGTACTGACCTTTTCCTTTTTCTCACTTGCTAATAATATGAGTTCTTCAAGGGCAAAAATGGTTGGCAGAGAGGTGGACCTGTGTATCTCACTTTACGTTGTTTCTAAGGGTTTGTCCATATTTTGGTAAATTTTGAGAGAACAGTGATAAAAAGCTGGATATAAGATCACAGGTTGCTCTAGATACATGGAGAAGCTAAGGAAGTCTTATAAAGTTTGATAAAAGAGAAGAAATACATTTTTGGTTATATGCCAGACATAATTGCCTATGAAAGCAATTTGAGGCCAAAAGTTTTAGAGCACAGAAACAAGAGCACAGGTGTAGATGAGATGACTCCTAGGACAGCTCTTGAGTATCAGTTTATTTTAGTTATTAACTTTTAAGTTTATTTATTTATTAGTTTTTTTTGTTTGTTTGTTTGTTTTTTACATCCTATGATGTTGTTGTGGAGCAGCCAGTGGGGAGGGGGAGAAGGGAAAGGGGAAGGAAATGGAGTGGGAGAAGGAGGAAGGAGAGGGGTGGAGTTCAGTCCTGTGGCACCCCCTCATTCCTGCATGGGAGACCAGTGGGCTTCCAGAAGTGGCCTGGTCATTGCTGAGCTGGGTGCACTTGTCAGAGGGGTGTGGCTGAAGTTCTTGGCCCCCTACTTCCCCAGCTCGGGAGCCCAGGGCACTTCCTGCAGTGGCTTGGTGGTCATCACTGGGCTGGTTGGGAGTGTCAGGGGGGCATGGCTGAGGCTCCCCAATTCCTGGCTTAGTAGCCTAGGGCACTTCTGATCCTTCTAGGTGTTATAGGTGTTCTTTGGTGATGTGAGACCATTACTAGTTAATATCAAACTTTGGTCTGTGGGTATTTTGTTTTTTCTTTCAGTTCTGCATTGGATTATTTGCTGTTCCTACCACTTAAACTCTGCATTGGAACTAATTTGTTGTCCTTTGCTTACATCTGAAATGAGGGAACTTCTTGTGGGGACCAGTACTTCAGCTCTGTGGTTGAACTAAATTGTTGCTTTGCTGCTGATTTCCTAGGGAAGGCTTTTTGTGCAGCTCAGGTTTTAATGGTTGACTTTATAGGTACTTCCTGGTCTCATGAGATCCAGTACACCGAGGTTCTATAGAAACACCGATCTGGGCCTGAGTCTTTTCAGCAAACTGCACCCCTGCAGTTCTATATTCTTGGCCATTCTCCACTGAGTGGTCCTATGCTGATGGGGAAGCAGATCAGCTGTCCTTGCTGTGGCCCAGTGTTCCCCCCGTGGCCTGTCTCTTTATCGCACATGCTCCAAACACTTCCCCTGAGACAGGCCATGCTCCAGTCCCTTGCAATGACTCACCAGTCTCTGAGTGGCTCCTTTTTGTCAGTTGTTGTGGCTCCTTGCTCCTGTGTGGATCCACGGGAACCCTATTAGTGGTCTTGCTGGCCTGGTGGCCACCAAGGCCCTCTTCTCCCCTGCAGCCTCCAAGCAACTTCATCTAAGGGGTGCAGCTGTGGCTTTTGCCAGCTCCTGCTCCATGCTCTGTTTGCTCAGCAGCTCCAGCATTGAAGTGGCTGGGGCTCAAAACAGTTCAAGCAGTCCTTTTTTTCTGTCATCATGGCTTCTCCCACCTTCACACACTCTGTAGGTCTCTCCTTCTCTTCCCCTGAGCTCTAGCAGCCCCAGCTTGGCTGTCATTGCTTTTTAATAGCTGTAAATTGGTTTATCTGTGGGAGAGAGTGATGCTGGGACTGTCTATTCTGCCATCTTGACCAGAAGTCCTCTTGAGTATCAGTTTAAACTGTTTATACAATGAAGGGAATTAGTGTTAAATTTTCAGATAATCAAAGATGGGCAATAAAAACTTGTTGCACACTCTGCTAGTTTAACAAAGATGCCTGCTGCAAAAAAAGAAAATGACTATGGTGAATCATCATTTCAAATCTTTTTGATGTCCACATAGCACTGGAACCTCTAGTTATCTAACTTTATGCTTGTTAAATTGCACTTTTAACAAGTCCTGCCCCTGGGGGAAAAAAAAAACATATTATTACACCTAAGTGGCAGGCAAGTTGTATTTATTTTGAAGGCTGCATTGTAATTAACAGTGGAGATAGCACACTTTCTGATAAGTTAGTTAAAATAAGAAGTTAATTAATTTTTTATTAACTAAGAAATTAATAAAATTTCTTAATTCCTAGAATAGTTTAGAAGAGAATTGACTTACCTTCCTATTAAATTTGAATTCTCAGGGTAAAGTAATAGGAGTAAAATTATCATCATGACCTTCCATCTTCTTTTGCATGTTATCATTGCAGGCATTCTATTGTCTGCATTAACTTAAAAATTAGAGACTATTCTGGGAATTGGCTGGTGGCTTGTTAAGTACATTTAAAGTTGACCATGGAGGGTAATGTTATCATTTCAATGGCTAGTCACCATTTTTAAGGACATTGTCTAAACTGAGTCCAAAATTTGAGAACTCTTGTATGGATTAGATTATCTATATAGACTAGTTTATTATGCTATGGTTTTATTATTGTCCACTTTGATTTTATACTTTTTATTACGTATAATGATTTTGGAAAATGTGTTTTGTAAATACAAACTCAATAACAAGATTTGTTTGTTTGTTTGTTTATAATAAAAACAAGAGTGGCTATAAGTGAAAAAGCCACTTGCAATTCCGGAATGTTGAAACAATTTAAACTATTTTAACATTGAACATTACTCATTTCCATTCTCACTCAAACCCCTACATTCAGGCTTTTGCCCCCCACAAGCCACCAAACTGCTCTTGTCAAGGTAACCTGTGATCAAGTTGTTTTCGTCCATGGCCAGTTTTCAACGTTCATCTTACCTGACCCAGCCACAGTGCTGGACTTGGCTGATCACTTCCTTACCTTGAAACATGCTTTTCTCTTCTCTTCCAGAAC